AATCGCAACTCCACCATATCCTCTGGTTGCCGTACCGGATTTGTTATCATGAGGTGGTCGGTCGCGACGAAATGTGGTATAACCGGAGATGGTGAGCGCTATGCTTGGATTTAGCCATGTTTCATTTAGACAGATGACATCAGGTTTGTTGAAATCAGCAGTGTTTGCGTGGATACTTACGACCTAACACGTACCTTCGTTATTAAATTATTATTATTATTATTATTATTATTATCATTATTATAGTGCAAGCCTCTTTTACGGGCAAAAATTAACACAAAGTATTAAAATGCAATACAACATACACTGGAGAAGAAATCAGGAAAATAAAATATGAGCTCAAAAATGGTACGAAAAATAGCAAATAGAATCAAAACTCACGATGGAATCAAACTCACGATGGAATCAAACTCATGATGGAAACTACAACCCAATGAGTTGGAAAACCAACCACAGAATTAGATATTGGGAATATAGTCAGACACAACAACAACCGAAAGCAGTACACCAAAAATCTGTCCTACAAAAAACAAAGGAACAAGAAAAACAAGAAAGACGAAGTACAAAGAATCCCCCCAAAAAAAGGGGAGAACGGGATGAAAGAGGACCGGAGAGCGGCAAACCCCAGGAGGACTTAGCGTCACATTATCATTATTATTATTATTATTATTATATGTCTCTTTCCCTCAAATCAGTCATTATTATTATTATTATTATTATTATTATTATTGCATCATCATCTCGTGGCAAGCAATGCCAATATTGAATGAGAGAGGGGTGATAGGCAACCACGGCCAAATCAACAAAAGAAAAGTAGTAGCCATACATGTATAAGAAAGAAGAAAGAAGATAACTCAAGACATACACAAGAGAGAGCTTGGAAGCTTTGTTACAACTCTGAGTTTCACGTATTACTACGATCATCAGGCAACTGATGGATCCAAAACGGGCAGCCAGAACATAAGGGGGAGCAAGGTGCGAAAGTCCGAGGGGTATCATAGGCGACGCGTATCATAGCGCAAGAGTCAGGTGCAGGGAGATACGAATTACACAGTGGCCCACAACAATTGAATACCTAGCGAAGTAAAGTAGCAAAAGTGGAAAGTATTTGGCAAGTCTTGAGGTCATGTGACGTCAGCAACGACCAATGTGTATATGCCAAAATGGAGGGGACTTCAGAAGAGTGGCTGTGCGAGAGATAGGGAAGCAGAGAGAGTTTCGGGTAGCTGGGGACTGATGAAACCAGTTAATTAAGCTGGGATAAAACATGAGGTTAGGCAAGACCAAGACGAATTTTATGAATAATTAGTTTACATGATGAAAGTCTGAGTCTGTTAGAGAGAGGGCAGCTGGATGCGATAGCATACACAGTATGAGAGGGCGTCAAATGGGGAAAAGCAAAGACAGCGCGAATTAAGCGACGATGGGTGACTTCGAGACGATTCGTGAGCGATGTGCTGGTGCCAGCCCAAATGGAGGAACAGTAGTCAAATACAGGCAGAACATAGCATTTATACAGCATTAAACGGCAATCACGGGGGAAATGAGATAAGTGAGAAGAGAGGAAGCCAACAATAGAACTTGCACGTTTCTCCAGGTACGTGATGTGGGGATCAAAGGACAGATGCTGATCCAGGATAATCGCAAGGTGTTTGTGCTTGTTTATCTACTCTCGGTATCACGGGTATGCTGAGGTATGTTTTCGTCCGATATATTAAAGTAAGCATGGGTGTGTTCCTGCCACGCGAGAGATCCATGAGTGATACTGTAATGATGTCGGGGTGATCGTCAATGAATTAATCCAGTTCCATTTCAGGACGGATATCATCAACAACAGCGGTTTCACTAAGCACGTCGCTCTCACGAGCTGGCGCTTTTTGCCCTCATGCTCATTATTATTGGTCAACGCGGAAGGAGAGGGTGACCTCGCACCACACTGCTGGGTGTTCTGCGTCGTGTCGCACAGGAAAGCGCCACGCTTTTCTACTCACCATCATCTAGATGAGCTCTCCGTAACGGCCCAGGATCGAACAGCTTGGAGAGGCTTCACTCACACTACATAGCGTGCGTGCCGGTGCGGATGATCCTTAGCCGAGGAACAACAGCGGAGCGGAACCATGTCTCGCACAATAACATTATACTTAAATAAAGGGTTTTTTCAACTGACAACCGCTGTATTTAGTTGCAACTCACTCTTGGCCCATGCGCTGGATGAAATTCTTCATTAATGATAATGATGTCAAAAAATCATTGATGTGTCATGCCAGTCACCCATCGTCAGAACACTTAATAAGGTTAGAACCTGGCCTTTTATAATGAAATCAAGCGTGAGCGTATTATGTCAATGTACAAAACAAAGCAAACACGGAATAGCCGTATGGAATTGAGCGTATGAATATTGCATGTACAGCAGACAAGGAGAAGGGCGCTGAAAGAGTGGGTGTGCAGCAGCTCAGCAGAGAGATCCACAATCAGCTCCCTCCCCCTCACTTATCTATTTACATGTGTTTCGTAATCCTGTCCATGGTGCGCTGGAAAGCGCTAACGCCGAGACCCTAGGTCGGCGTTGCTAGTCCCGCCTCCCCGCACAGGCTCCCTGAGAGCTCCTACTAGTACATTGTCTGTCTTTCTCCTTTGTTGTCTCGATCATTATTTTCTTTTGTCTTCTTCTTCTCCTCTCTTTGTTATGGTCTATCAGCAGGAGGTGCATTCTGTAAAAAAAGATGTAATAATAATAATAAGGCGCAGGAAATGTGTGAACAAAATTGGATTTTTTTTATGAAAGTGCACATGCCTACATACACGGAAGGGGGGGGCGGGAGCATGCCTACATACACGGAAGGGGGGGGGGGGGGAGCATGCCTACATTCACGGAAGGGGGGGGGAGCATGCCTACATACACGGAAGGGGGAGCATGCCTACATACACGGAAGGGGGGGGGCGGGAGCATGCCTACATACACGGAAGGGGGGGCATGCCTACATACACGGAAGGGGGGGGGGAGCATGCCTACATACACGGAAGGGGGGGGGGGGAGCATGCCTACATACACGGAAGGGGGGGGGGTGCATGCCTTCATACACGGAAGGGGGAGCATGCCTACATTCACGGAAGGGGGGAGCATGCCTACATACACGGAAGGGGGGGGGGGGCGGGAGCATGCCTACATACACGGAAGGGGGGGAGCATCCCCACATACACGGTAGGGGGGAGAGCATGCCTACATACACGGAAGGGGGGGGCATGCCTACATACACGGAAGGGGGGGGAGCATGCCTACATAGAATGGAAGAGAGCAACAACAACAACACCATGACATAGAGGACTACAAAGGGCGTGTAGGTGCTATTGAGCTGTGCCGGTGAGGTGAAGTGCGCTCCCCGACCAATGGTCTCGGGATCAAATTGGATACCACAATCATTGTGTGTACAACCCTGTACAGACACAGCAAGATTTACTTGTAGCAGTTTCACTGTGAGGGTGCTAGCGCCTTCAATGGCCTTCCGAAGGAGATATTGATCTCCGGACGACGCTCTCGAATCTCGATAGACTCCCTTGGCTTTCTCTGGCCCTCCTTGTTTCCACAGGCGGTACTCTGGTCTCAACGAAAATCATATCTGTCCTCTTGATGGTTCCGTGTTGCTGGTGATCAGCAATATTATACGTATTGCTTCAATGCATATTATTGCTACTCATTATCATGAGAACAAAGACCAACTTGATCATCCCCACCACTCTTCCCCTGGTAGTTGTCTAGATCCATGTCTCTTGCAGATTCCATGAAACCATTTTATCATCCTTTGAATCATCTTATTACTCCACTATTTCTATTGTCCATGTTCAAATCAACGAGAAGTGATGAGCATAGACGCTCTTTTCCCGGGCGCTGCGGATTCACTGCATCCGTATCACTGAATCATTACTGATGCCGTGAAGTGAGTTGCGAAGTTGCTGTGATTGGGGAAGGAGCATGTGAGCTCACCACTTCTCTTCGAGTTATGAAATTGCAGAATGCCTCGCCCCATAATGTTATGTCTCATTTTGCCCCGCGACGCTTTTGATGCATAGTGATAATTATGACGCTCATAATTCGCTACCTTCTCACTGGACAGTTTTGTCCATTTGGTTTTAGCGAATTGAGATCCGGAAAACAACCACAACAACACAACAACCCTAGATTAGAGGGATTTAAAAAATTATTTCCTTGAAATAAAATAATTTATTATTATCATCATCTAGGCAATGGTATACTGTGCCAAAACCTGCACACACTGTAGGTTTAAGATAATATCTTAAACCTACAGTGTGTGCAGGTTTTGGCACAGTATACGCACCTGCTCCTTCCTCTGTATATATTATATACAGAGGAAGGAGCTGCTCCTTCCTTCCTCTGTATATATTATATACAGAGGAAGGAGCAGGTGCGTTTCCGTAACTCTGAGTTTCACCAACTGAATCGATTAGAAAGTGGTAGACATCACCATTAGCAGACGAAAATTGATACTGACCCTGCCCCGAGAGAACTGCTATATAGCACGATTGTGAGAAGATGAAATGTTTAGGTGGAAGATATACAGTAGGAGTGCGGAGGCTTCCATGGCAACGAGTATAATGTATATCTTTGTTCAGCAGAGGGTTTGGTTTGAAACGCTGGGCATGCAAAATAGCACACGCCGTATTTCAATGGTTTGCCACAGTTTTGGAGATTTCTTCATTAGAGGTTGCTGGAGTTAGGCAGCCAGCTCCGTTGGTATGGCTTTCAGCAACCTTGTCTTGAACGTTTGATCCGACTTACTTGTCAAGTAGATATCCAGAGATTGTGTTTGTATATCTGAACATCAGCCTCGCGACAGCTTAATGTCCTACAAGTAATGTTAAAGCCCTCACCATGGACATTCGGTGGAAAAAATACAAGAGAGAAAAGTCCAGGAATATCTGGTTTAGAAAGGTGTTTCGCAATCTTCAGTATCCTATCGTTTGCTTGCTATTTTGCTGTTCAGGAGATATGTCTTTTCCCCAGCAAATTTCCAGATGCAGCCGTTAAGCGTGCAGCTGACAATAGCATTAAGCGTCCACAAGATGTAAGCTTTTATGTTTTGAAAACTGCCACATGAACAAATCTGTCCATTGGCTAATGCTGTTACATGTTTATGGCTGTTAACCTAAAAATGCATCCCTGAGCCCACGTCCATGGCTGTTATTACATAGTGACTTGTGCATGAACAGACATGCGGAAATGTCTATCAGCTACCCACCATTTGCTGTTCTTTCAGATCTGTCTAGCCAACCATGCTGGAGAGGATGCCGAAACGCCCCCTGAAACCACCAGCGCCACCACACCCAAATCCACCAATGCCCGCACCACAACCACCAATACCACCATACCCGTCACCACTCCAATCACTGACCCAAGTGTTTCCTTAGCTACAACAAGCACAACCACTCCTGTGTTCCAGTCGGAGGAGGAAGAAGCTCCAATGGCATCGATATCGGCAGCTGGCCAAGTAACTGTGTATGCAGAAGTCATTTTCCCAAAGAAGGTTTGTGATTTGCAATGTTCTTTCTCTCCATATTGAAGAGTATTGACGGTCTGATATGCTTTGCTCCACACATGATGCACAGAGGGGTGGCGAAGGTCTTCACAGGGAACAATAGAGCGCTGCTTCTGCTGTTGTTGTTGTTGTTGTTGTTGTTGTTGTTGTTGTTATTGTTGTTGTTGTTGTTGTTGTTGTTGTTGTTGTTGTTGTTGTTGTTGTTGTTGTTGTTGTTGTTGTTGTTGTTGTTGCTGTTGTTGGTTGTTACTGCTGCTAGTGGATGAGTGCTACTGCTGTTACTGCTGCTGGTGGTACCAGTGGTGCTGCTGGTGGTGGTGGTGCTGCTGCTGCTAGTACTGTTGCCGCTGTTGTTGTGGTTGCTGTTGTGGCTGCTTCCTCTTTTGCTGTTGCTGCTGTAGTTGTTGCAGCTGCTGCTGCTGTTGCACAAAGCAGTCGTTTGCAAATCTCGTCAGCGCTGCTGCTGCTGTCACTGTTTCTGTTGCTGGTGTAGATTTTGGTGGTGCTGCTGCTGCTGATATTGCTACTGCTGCTGAGTTGCCACTTGGATGAAGACTGGCAATGTGGCAAATGGACATGATTGTGTATGTTATTCCTTACCCTGTAGTTGGTGCAGTCGTGTAACGGCTGTGATTTGGTCAACACCCTTAAAACCGTGTAAGCAACACTCGAACACGCAGGTGCTACCTACGAATGCATGCACTAATATGCACGACTAAACATTATGTTTTCACATGAGAGCGTTGTTTTTATGCTTAGGATGGTGAGCCAAAACGAGTCTTGACCAACCCTAATGCCGAACATAACGGACTAGCCTCGGATCAAAATTCCCGTGACGTTCCAATACGTGGCACTGCTTCACCTCTCAATGATGATACACCAGTTTACAGCAAGGTACGAGCTATGTTTGTTTATAGTACAGCATTGGACACGTTGTTGGTTAGTACTTTTGCTTTTACTTGAACAGTATGAAATTGTGAAGATTCAAAAACTATTTAGTGAATGTTCATGAGTTTAAATAAGGGTTTTGGAAATATATAACAAAAGCCTGAACAAAATCCTTTCTAAAAAGTGTGTGTGAGTGTGAGTGTGTTTGCGTGAGCGTGTGTGTGTGTGAGTGTGTGTGTATGTGTGTTTGTCTACAAGTATGTGTGTCTCTGTGCGAGAGAGAGAAAGTTGGTGTTGATGTGCATAACCCCATGTGTACTTGGCTGTGTATGTGCCTATGTTCCTGTATTGCCACGCTATACAGGTTAACAAGACCTGTCATCGGGACAGCGTAGAAGAGTGACTTTTAACTTGTCTTCTTTCCCATCTTGGTGAGCTGTACACCTTTAACAGGATCGTTTAATTTTTCTTTATCTTATCCTCTTCTTTCTGACGAACAACAAGACATTCTCTAGTACTCTATATTCCGTTTTTCTTCCGTGTTCGCTCACCCGCCTACCCATTAAACCTCCCCTCCCCCCCCCCCCCCAACTCTCCTTCTCTTTCGCTCTCTTTCTCCCTTGATATGTACAGTCAACTTGGCTAATAACGACTGCGGATATAACGACAATTCGCGAATAACGACATCATTTTCATGCCCAGAGCAAAGTCCCATCCAACTGTGACACGTATAATGAAACTTCGGGTATAACAACACTTCGCGAATAAGGACACTTTTCTGATGCCCCGCCGAGTGTCGTTATAAGCGAAGTTGACTGTATCTCTTTACCTTTATCTCTTCCTCTCTCTCTATCCAACTCATTCTCTCTCTATCTCTCTTTATCTCTATCTCTCTCTCTCTCACCTAAGACCTAAGACGTGCCCATCGCGGACGCGATGATAGCGAACAGCTATGTTAGACATAGCAACTTGTGCTGGGATTACACCATTCAACAGCTTGCAAAGCTGATGAATTGACCGCCACTATTAATTTTTTAGCCTGGTATCCACCACACAGCTC